CAACAGATCATTAAGGCGAGTGCTTTTTTTGGCTCGTGAATCGTTGCTTTGATCTTGAGGAAACATTTTCCCTTGACCATTCTGCGGTTATTATTTTTGTCGATGTACACGCTGGATTCGAGGCTGCATGGGAAAGATGAATTGATTCAACAATGTTCAGAGTTTTGACAAGTCACGCTGTTTAAGTTTCTCCTTTGCTGAAACCAGAAGAACATAATGCTGCAATCTGGCAGAAATTTGTGTCTGTCAGTTGAAATAATGTATGAAGAGGAACTCCTCTGCAAACACAATGCATTTAGTTTTGTGTTGATTTAAGGCTTTTCCCCCCTCACTGTCGCTCTCTGAGGAGCGAGAATGTATTTGCCACTAGCGTTTACTTTACAGAATGAGGAAAATATTGTCTTTTTGAGCTTCTGAAGTTTTTTGTGTGAAGTTTTAGTCAGGATTGTTGATGCTGGAAGATGTGGTTTGAATAAAATAGTTTGAATTTAGTGAATAATGTCTGACAGACACTGCATTTCTTCTCTAAGATCATGTGTGTTATGGATATAGTTGGTATTTCAGTGAATGCACTAAAATACACTAATTTTAATTTATAATAACTTATTTTAAAGTCTAAAGTCAATTAGATGGCTTTTGGGGGCATAAATGGTATCAAAAATGGATGAGCATTTTTCTGTCCTCAGTAGAATCTATTGTCTGTTGACAGCTGGTGTGATTATAACACAACACATTGCCATTGATTTCAAGTATTTCACTTGATTTCTAACAACAAAACACAGATACACTCTTAAAAATAAAGGGGCTTTTCACAGCAATGCAATAGAAGAACCATTTTGGATTCCCAAAAGAACCTTCAAGTGAACACTTATCAATTTTTGTTAAAAGAACCAATTTTACTTAATGTGAATAATATTTTAATAATCTAAAAAACCTTTTTCCACTGTAGGATTCAGAGTTCCAAGAGAGGGTTTTTGCGGTGATGCCATAGAAGAACCTTTTTTGCTTCCCAAAAGAACCTTCCGTTCAGTTCTTAAAAGAACCATGTTTTTCTTAGTGTGAAGAACATTTTGAAAATCTAAAGAATCTTTTTTTTTTTCCGACTATAAAGAACCAATGGAAAGGTTCCATTGATTTTAAAAGTTCTTTATGGAACAATAGATGGCAATAAGGAACCTTTATTTTGAAGAGTGTAATGAAACTTCAGCGTCCTTCTACATGCAGTTTCTCAGTTCTTTTAGACAAATATTGTATTATTATACTATATTATTGTATTATACTACTATTTCACAGTTATACTATCTGCTCTGTCCACCTCATTTGTCCTGTAAAAACGGGAAAATTTTATGTGTCTGGCTTCCTGTCATTCTCTTCCAGTTATTTTTAGCTTTAGAATTAAAGGAATATTTCACAGTTATACGAACTGTTCTGTTAGTATGATCAGTTTTAGTATACATGAACTTATGCATAGGATTCTCTAGCTGTGCTTGACTGGGAGTCTATGTTAGATAGCCTCGGTTTTAATGGAGCAAAGATCTATGCAGATTGGACATCACTGAACTCTGATCACAGTCTCTCCTTAAAAATGCATTTTATACAACTGGACTATTCAAATAACAAACAGTTTTTATAATTTTTTTTTATTTTGCTTTAATAATTAATATAAATGCTTTTAACATTTTTGCTTTTAAACTTTCTGCTCCACTTGCCTGCTAGACTTTCATTACTGTTAACATGTTTCTCAATCGTTTTTACATTAGTAAGTCCAAGTGAATACTGTATATTTGGTATTCCTCAGATGCTGTCCATAGACAGTATGTTGAAAATAAATGTTAATAATTAAATATTGAATATTGCTTTAATTAGCTAGTTAGCAAAAAGCTGCCCTTATTGTTTTATGTGATCTTTTATGATTACACGCTAAATGGTGACATATTCCCGTCATACAGTATTTCCCATTTTTCCCTTTTCACCGTCAGTGCTCTTTCATGCTCCAAATACTTGCTAAAATACTATTTGCAATAGAAACTTCAAGGGTGTAATCTCAGAACAGACTGAAACATTATCTCCTTCCAAATTACAACATCTGCTCATGAAACTAACGTCTGTGTGTCTGAACTAAACATGTCTTTGTATTCGTACTCTTCCACTGTGGATTTTCGTTTTGTCAGCAGTACAGTTGGATTTTCCCACCTCTCCCTCTTTCATTGTTCCTCTGTTCTCCTTGGTGCGTCCAAACATGTGCTTCTGCCTAACACACAGGAGAAGGGATTATTCGAATTGGGTCTTCAGTTCAATAAGTTCAATAAGTAATCAGACCACAAGGACGGACCCCATGGTCATCTTCAGACAGCGTTTGAGCTGCTGTGCTGCACAATAAAAGGCTACAGAAGTTGGGAAAGTTACAAATGGGTGTTTTGGACAATATCGAAGACAACATCATTATTTGATGCAGTTGTGCATAGTATTGTGGGCTGTGGGAAAAGTGAAGCCTGTGCTTATCTTTGAGTAGTTTTTCTTCTTGTTTAATGATGTTTCTGTCACAGATAAACACTTGCACCCACTCATCTGACCAGAGGTGACCTTTTCCAGGCCCTTTCGCCACATAATTCTTCACCTTTGTCTGGTCATTCTCCACTCAGCTTACTAGGTGGTTTCTGCACCACCAAAATTACAAATTAGAGTTTAGCTACATTTATTTGATCAAAAATACATTAAAGCAATAATGTTGTGAAATATATTATAGTTTGAAATGTTGATTTACAGTTTACATTTTAAAATCTTGTTCTAAAGACTCTACAGTCTCTTAAACTCATCTAGGCTGCATTTATTTAATAGAAAATACAGTAAAAACAGTAATATTGTGAAATTTGCTAATTAAAATGTGCCTTTTTGTATTTTAATATAATTGAAAAAAAGTTTTTTTTTTTTTTTTGGTGGAAATGCATACATTCATTCAAAATAAATACTTGAAAATTAATTTTGAAAAAACATTTTCAGGATTATTTGATGAACAGAAAAACAGCATTTATATGAAATTGAATTACTTGAATTACTATTCTTTACTCTCACTTTCACAAATTTGATCAATTTAATGTGTCCTTGTAATAAAAAAAATATTAATAAAAAAAAAGAAAAAAAAAAGACCCTAACGTTTTAAAAGGTAGCTATTTTAAAATAGCTATTTGGGCATTTTTTTATTATTATTATTTTTTTTTTAGCAATTTGTCATTTAGTCTGACTTCATTATGATACAGAACACCTACTTTTCATTATCCAATCAATTCCTCATTCAGTTCCTAAATAAATTTCCACCCTATATTTTCCCTCACTGAATATCTGCTTTCACTTCCATACATGTTTGAATACAGAAGTAAAATAGATTGCAAAAGGCAATTCATGTTGACTTTGAAATGCATTTGATTCCATCTATCTTGAAACATAGTGAACGTTTGGTACCGTACTATACCATATCAAAATTTCCGTCCAGGTCACTGTAGCGTTGAGGGAATGCTTCCATGGTATTTATGGGAGCAGTGCCTGCTTATAGCTCAGCAGAAATGTTTGGTTAGCTGATTATCGCTTCTCCAGGGACTTCTGCTCTCATTCCTCTCCTCTAGCCTGCTGGTGACACTGGGGTGTTGCCGCTCGGTGTTGAGTTAATTGCTCTCCCTTGTGCTACTCTGATTGCTGTCCCCAGCATGTGGGAAACGTCGACCCAGATGAGTCAGGATTCATTTCATGAAATTTAGGCTTGAGTTTCCAGACCTTTTCTCTAGCCCTTTCATTCCATACGTACACTTTCCACTTTATCCTTGTTTATCTGATGTTTATATCTGTCCATGACTCCATGCCTCCTTCTTTGGTCTTTCTCATCCAGAAAATCCACCCGTCTGGAAGCAGTAACTCCAGCAGACGCATTTCAGTTTAATGCTGTACTCCTCAGATCCTCTCAGCTCGCTTAGTGTAGTTAACATTTATGCTGCGTGTTTGTTGCCCTTCAGAGAGCCAGAGAAAGCATTGCTGTTTCTTTGTATGACTGTACGGAAAGTATATGTTGATTTATGTCTGACTTTGATTTGGTAAGGTTTATAAAACATATATTAAATGTCAAGTCGTCTTTTAAGATGAGTTTGCATTTAGACTTGTGTAATCATCTATTTCTAATGGGGATGTGACCCTGAATTTCTGTATCTTTTTTGAGTTTAATTTAATATTTAAACTTGTGTGACTAGACAGTATGTAACCGTCCAACTCTCCAAACTTTATCTCAAACACTTACTACATTTACATTTACATTTAGTCATTTTGCAGACGCTTTTATCCAAAGCGACTTACAGTTGGGGAATACATAAAGCAATTCTTCTAAAAGAGGCTAACAGACACAGGAAGTGCTCGTAATACCAAGTTTCTGGCATTTGTTCAAATAAGTACAAGCTAGAAAGGGAAGGAATAAATAAAGAGAAAGATAAATTTTTTTTAAATTTAGGATGAAGTCAAGTAGCATCGAAAGAGATACGTTTTCAGCTGTCGCTTGAACTTTGTCAGGGATTCAGCATTCCGGATAGGGGTGGGAAGATCATTCCACCAGCCAGGAACGGTGAACGAGAATGTTCTGGAAAGTGAATTGGAGCCTCTCTGTGATGGTACCACTAGGCGTCGCTCACTAGCGGATCTCAGGCTTCTGGAGGGGATGTAGATTCGTAATAGGGAGTGGAAGTAGGCAGGTGCTGAGCCTGTGGCTGTTCTATATGCAAGCATCAATGTCTTGAACTTGATGCAAGCTGCACCCAGTAGCCAGTGCAAGGAGATAAATAGAGGTGTAACACAGGGTTCGTTGAAGACCAGTTGTGCCGCTGCATTCTGAATCATTTGTAGAGGTTTGATTATGCTTGATGGAAGTCCTGACTAGAAGTCTAGAATGATGTATTGATGTCGTTTTATTTGAAAGGGTGATGGTGAAATTCATCATCGGTGAACATGGCTGTTCTGTGCCGGAGGAAGATCGTGAAGACCCGTATTCCTGCTCGCTGCTGAACCTCACGGAGACAGGTGAATTCATCTTACCAACTCCACTCTGATCAAGCCAGAAGCCCTGAGATGTTCCTGAATTCAGAGCAGTCCGTTTTCACGAGGCTTATATCATTTTATATATACTTTACAATTCTCATCAGGCCATTTGTGTTTTCAAAAAAATAAGCTTTTCTGCCTCGTTTCCTCTGTGCGATACTGGACTTATTCATTTCATAGACCTGCGCTCGGACATGAACCTCGCAGCTTGTGGCCTGAAATCACAGGGCAGCTTTAGTAGTGTGACATGCAATCATACATACAAATAGATCCCTTGAGACAGATATGGGTGATGTCCAATCAGATGTAGCACTGAAAGACTACCCATCAGACATATGCCTGAAAACGAGTGTTTTTTTTTTAAACATTTACATTGTCATTTTGCAGACGCTTTTATCCAAAGCGACTTACAATTGGGGGATACATAAAGCGATTCTTCTTAAAGAGGCAAACAGACACAGGAAGTGCTTGAAATACCAAGTTTTAGGCATTGTTCAAATAAGTACAAGCTAGAAAAGGGAAGGAATAAATAAAGAGAAAAAAAACGTTTTTTTTTTTTTTTTAAGATGAAGTCAAGTAGCGTTTACAGAGATGAGTTTTCAGCTGTCGCTTGAAAATTGTCAGGGATTCAGCATTCCGGATAGGGGTGGGAAGATCATTCCACCAGCCAGGAACGGTGAATGAGAATGTTCTGGAAAGTGATTTTGAGCCTCTCTGTGATGGTACCACGAGGCGTCGCTCACTAGCGGATCTCAGGCTTCTGGAGGGGATGTAGATTCGTAGTAGTGAGTGGAAGTAGGCGGGTGCTGAGCCTGTGGCTGTTCTATATGCAAGCATCAATGTCTTGAACTTGATTCGAGCCGCAACCGGTAGCCAGTGCAAGGAGATAAAGAGAGGTGTAACATGGGCTCTTTTGGGCTCGTTGAAGACCAGTCGTACCGCTGCATTCTGAATCATTTGTAGAGGTTTGATTGTGCTTGATGGAAGTCCAGCCAGAAGAGCATTGCAGTAGTCCAGCCTAGAAATGACAAGGGCCTGGACAAGAAGTTGTGCAACATGCTCTGTTAGAAAGGGCCTGATCTTTCTGCTGTTGTGCAGTGCAAACCTGCAAGATCGAGCAGTCTTTGCAATGTGCTCTTTGAAGGTCAGCTGGTCATCAAAGCTTACACCAAAATTTCTGACCGAAGTTGATGGGGTAATTGTAGAAGAACCTAGCTGGAAGGTGAAATCATGCTGTAGAGTTGGAGTGGCAGGGAAGACAAGAAGCTCAGTCTTTGCCAGGTTGAGCTGTAGGTGATGTTCTTTCATCCATGCCGAGATGTCCGCCAGGCAGCCTGAGATCCGTGCAGCTACCGTTGGATCATCTGGTTGAAATGAAAGATAGAGCTGTGTGTCATCAGCATAGCAATGGTAGGAGAAGCCATGTGCCTGTATGATGGGACCCAGTGATGTAGTGTATATGGAGAAGAGGAGGGGTCCAAGAACTGATCCCTGTGGAACCCCAGTGACAAGTTGATGTGCTTTGGATACCTCCCCTCCCCAAGCCACCCTGAAAGACCTACCAGTGAGATAGGATTCAAACCAGCGAAGAGGAATCCCTGTGATGCCCAGTGAAGAGAGGGCAGACAGGAGGATCTGATGATTGACAGTGTCAAAAGCAGCAGATAGATCCAGCAGAATAAGAACTGATGATTTGGAATCAGCTTTTGCAATCCGCACGGCTTCCGTGACTGACAGTAGCGCAGTCTGAATTGAATGTGGCCAGTTGAATGGCCACTCCTAAGTAGGAGAGATTGCTTGGAGAAGGTGTGAGGGGATTGGGTCTAGATGGCATGTTGTAGGATAGCTGGAGAGGAGAAGTTTTGATACTTCTGACTCAGTGAGGGAACAGAAGGAGAAGATGGGAGTTTTAGCAGTGGATGTGGTTGGTTTGAGGTCCTGTGTGTGTGGGGCTGAGAATTGACTACTGATTGTTCTAGTTTTGTCTGTGAAGAATGTGGCGAAATCATCAGCTGTTATAGAAGTGGTGGGAGGTGGTGGAGGGGGACAGAGGAGAGAATTAAATGTTTTGAAGAGATTGCATGTGTCTGGAGCGCTGTTGATTTGGCAGTATGGACTTTAGCAGAGAAAGATGAAAGCAAAGACTGATACATACTCAGGTCTGACGGATCTTTTGATTTGCTCCATTTTCTCTCTGCTGCCCTGAGGTTTGGTCCGATGCTCACAAAGAACATCGGATGACCAGGGGTTAGAAGGGGCAGCCCGTGCTGGCCTGGAGGAGAGAGGACAAATATCGTCTAGACAAGAGGTTAAAGTAGAGCATAAAGTGTCAGTTGCTGCATTCATATCCAGAGATGAGAAACTGAGACTTACTACTTGTAGAATAAAGAAAGAATGTTAGGAATGATTATGTACAGTAACACCAAGGCCTTGGGTTTCCTATAATAAATTTCTCTAGTGTTGCACCAATAATAAAATTCTGGTTGAGATAACGATAAGACAATATTTTCATGTGATGGCGATAACCATTAAATGGCTGAAATTCTATTCTATTTTGTCTAAATAAACAACAACAACACCACCACCACCACCACCAATAATAATAATAATAATAATCATCATCATCATTTTAAATGTTACACGAGCATTTAGGCATCACAACATTATAATATACTGAACGAAGTATGAATTTTTATTTTTATTTTTTTTATTATTTAATTAATTTTGTATTATTTATTTGTAATATTTAACATTTTAAAGGCTGGCATGATAAATAATAGCCAGACAAAAAGTATTTATTTATTTATTTTAATGGTGCAACAATGGAACTATTTTTTTTTGTATCATATTTGCTACATTTTATGTCTCATATAGTATGATATAGTGAGAATATGGAGCTCAGACTTGGAGGAAGAAAAAAACACCTCAATTTTACTCAGCAAAAATAATATTTTATATGGCCAAAAATAATATACCTCTAATATCTTGTAATAATATCTTGTATTCTGATTATTGTAATTTAAATCAGTGATATTTTTATAACACTATAAGCCTGTAGGGGAATGTTTTTATAGTTATACTAAAAAGGCATTTTACTTGCTAAAAAAGAATAAACTATCAATCAGATGACAGAAGTCATGTAGTAGATTATGTGCAACAGTTTTTTTTCCTGCAAAGTATAAATTTTACATCCCTAATCCTACCAAAATACCTAAACTTAACAACTACCTTACTAACTATTAAGTAACAGCAAATTAGCAATTTATTGAGGGAAAAGTCGTAGTTAATAGTGAATAAGTGTTCCCTATTCTAAAGTGTTACCAAATTTGCATATCAAATATTAAAAAGTATGCTTTATAGGGTTAAAGATTAACTTTTGAATGAGGGTTCAATGATGGCAAATGTAATCTAAATGTAAATATAAAAGAAATCAGCATGCACAATTAAATATCCAGTATTGGCTGTTATGAATACAAAAAATCTCTAATATTGACTGATAGATATATAGTTCAGTCATGAAACTCTAGATGGTGCAGGCTGACGGTTCTTCCAGCTTTGTTGGGGGGTTATTTTATATGCTATTTGTGCAGCAGCAGTATGTCTTAAATACTCACGGCACCGTATCGCCGTATGCATTGGCAGCAGCAAGTTCCTGTACTTGACTGCAGCAGCAGCAATAATCTACAACTACAGCAATAACTAGCAGCAGAAGCAATTCAGCAGCAGCGAAGCAGATCTATTCCGCCAAGACCAAATACATTAACATTGTCATATCCATCACCATGCTAAAATCTTCCGAGAGTTGTCATGATTTAACTGATATGATACTGGTATTTTGTGCATCCCTGTGTATGGGTAGCAATTGATTTGTCATTTATTCATCCCTCCCTGATGAACAAACAGAGGGTTAATGTTAGTGGTTATAGCGGCTTCACAAACAAATTGAAAGTTGAAGGGTGAATTATGACAGTTGTATCCGGAAGTTGCAGACGGCTTCAGTATCTTTCTCTGTCTCTCTGTCCTCGAATCCCCTTATCTTTCACATTCATAGTCAGACATTTTTTCACGCTTTATTCCTTACCACCCCTTTCACCCATCTGTCAACAGCCTGAATCCTTTCACGTTCCACCATGTCAAACCGCAAGGACACTGCCCAGACGCAATGCTCCAGCACTCAAGCAGGACACTCGCTCTTTCTCTACATCTGCCTCAGAATCCTCCCAGTATGTCCCTACAGTCCTCCTACTTTCTTCCCAAGAGAGAAAAACCCACAGCGTGTACAAAAACCGAAGCCCGGCCTCATTGAGGCTACTCAAGATTAGCTGCTTCTAAATTGAGAGTTGCCCTGCCGATCAGCGGGCGACAGTCATCTGAGGTCTCTTCCTTTTTGAACCAATTCCAAGATATTCCTTTTTGAACATTTTCCAGGCTATTTTCTCCAACTTGAAAGCCAAGCTAGCTCCTTTAGGAAGACTTTTTGTACCCTGGTGGCAAATGCAAATGTAGGTTGAGATATAGTTGAAAGAGGTCCCAGCCAAAACCTCCAGAGATATCAATATGGATGCTCTGCTGACACTTGACTCTTTAAAAAGAGTTCCAGCAAAGACATTATTTCATATTTTATTAACCCAGCCCCTTCAATTAGACTCCTCAGCCCGCTAACCGTTCAGATGCTGGTCAGTCCTTGAAACGTAGAATATTTATCCATCAGAAAACCAAGGTCGTATTTGTAATATCCAAAGAAATCCGTAAAATTATGCCTGGTTTGGCCAATCATTTCATTTGCAGCATATGAAAGGCGATAAAATGGGGGAAAAAAAGATGAAACTGGAATTACAGCCTCGGCCTACCTGTTTCAGCTCATCGCTGCCTCCTCGTCCACAGCCTTATCAGTATTCCTCAGCGTTCCCCGTCTACTCCATTACCCACTACTGGCAGCCAGTCAGGGACACTTTCCTTTGGCAGGTAACCGGCCCGCAAGG